ATCTATAATAGGGAAGGCTCTCCTGACAAAGATAAATTGGAGCTCAGGTGAAGGAAAAGGAAAAACATTCTAGGTAGAGGGAACAGCAAGTACCAAGCCTTCATTCTGGGAATGAGCATGGCAAGAATAGGGGACTAAAATGCCAATATAGCTGGAACACAAAGAGCAAGGGAAGAAGAACATGGCTCAAGCCACAACTCAACAGAAAGATAGGGGCCAGTCTATGCAAGACCTTGTAAGACAAGTAGATGCCACCACGTAAGACATGGGAGATTCATCTTCATCCTAAATACAATGGAAAGCTACTGAAGCCTGTCAAGTAGTAAGGTCATGTAATCAGGTCTGTATTTTGAAAAGATCTCCCTGATTACATGTAGAAAACAGATTAGAAGGGGACAGAGTGGACTGGGATAAACCAAGATTAGGAGGTTATTACAATATACCCATCCAAAAGTACTGGTAGTATAGACTAGGGCAGTAATGGATAATGAAAAGAAGTAGATAGATTCAAAAGATAATCAGATCAGCCAAATGATTTCTGTTCATAGGCTAAATCCCCCAAACTAGAATTAATCGATAAAAAACATTAAGAATTCAGATATACATTGCCAAATTGCCCTTCAGAGAACAGTTTTCTTCATTTGTCAATCATCTTATATCCATTCCACTATCGGAAAATTTAAATCCTTCAAAAATTACCTTTAAAATGACTTAATATGTACTTCCTTCATGAAGCCTTCCCTCTTTCTCCCTTTTGCCTGTCAGGTGGTCAACTGAAAACGTTCTCTTGAGTCCTACTTGTATCTTAAAAACACACTTCTTTTATAGTCCAATCATACTATGTCTGACTTATGTTCACATGTCACTTATCTCCACTACATGTGAGCTTCTAAAAAGTAATGTTCTTAATGAAGACACCTTAAAAAAACTTGACATCCATAGCAGTTTCTCATTAAGTGTTCACAGATGAACTAAATCATCTATCACTAGATTCTACTATGCACACAGATTTAAGGGGGCTCCTGCTTAAGCCTCTAATTTGCTGATTGTGATTTTAAACAAATATAGGAAGCTAACAAAATCTGCTATTAAGGGCTTCAAGTACCTACTAAGTAAAGGTGACTGATTTTGTTGGTGAAGAGTCGTTAAATCTCCCTGGTGTTTCTGAAAATCTCTAACAATCATAATGTAATAGGTATGTGATCTTAAAATATTTTTCAATGGTTTAACAAAAACCGGGGAGGTATAAGTAGATAAATCTTTTACTAGAGAAATTTTATTGTAATCTAAGTTTTTGATACAGCTCTTTTCAATTTACCAAAACAAACCAAAAAAAAAAAAAGTGAGGCCCTTCTGGTAATTTATTATAGTAATTTTGTAAAATATAAAGAATAAGTATATAATTTGCATAAGCAACAACATAAACATAGTGAATTTCATAATCGCCAATTTCTTACGTTGAAAATTTCATGTAATGTTTAAGAGTTAAATACTGAGTTGAAGGAATTCAGAGCTAAGAGTAGCAGAGTTCCTTACATAATCTTCAAGTCAAGCAGCTCCCTCTATGGTCTGGTTGATCTACTTGGTTTAATTATTTGCTTCGTGGACATCACTTCTCTGATTACTCCTTCTCTGCATCTCAGAAGTAATACTTTTTGAAAAGATAATTCTGTTTAACCTTATGCTGAGAAAACCCAGAGAGTTATCTAAGTTCAGCAGGAAGTGAGTTCCATCAAGCAAGAGTTGAGATGTGGAAACTGGACAGCTTCCCAAGTTCATCTTAGTCAGGTCCTCACAAGGAATCCTCAGGATTTTAAGTGAATTTTCTGAACAGTCCCATCCACACTTAAATCTAAGTGAAAAAACACTCACCTCTATTTTATCGATAACCTTGCTTCCCCCCACTAAACCAAGTTACCAAAATGTCCTTACAAAAGAAAATATTAACTATGTATTCTACAAATGATGTCGTTCAAGAAACAGTTGTATCAAAACAATGCTCAAGATATTTTTAAAATGAGTTAAAGAAAAGCAGGAAAGGGTTTTACAGGTTTTTTTTTTTTAAATAATTCCACTTCTCACATGAGAAAATTTAAGGTTCTCTCAGGAATCAATACCCTCAGTCAGCAAGAGATTAAGTCAGTCTATCAGGATTTACCACTCAAATGTGAATATGCCACTTTGAAAAATAATCTTTCAAATTTTACCACTCAAGATATGGGAGATTTTAAACCATGAGATTCTTTCTTTCTTCCTTGCAATTATTTAAGTCCTCAAAACACAGAACAAACAGAAGTCAACTGGACTGTTTTCTAAAGCAGAAAAATATTTTTCATACAATAGAAAAACTTAATTAATGAATCCAATTAGATCAGAATTTATAATTCAGGAATGGCCACATTATTTGCAAGAAAACTTCTTCCATTTTTCAGGATCTCATTTGTAATGCTCAGTTTAAAAAGACCTTTTCTCTAAAACAAGGTAAAGAACTAATAAGGATTTCCAAAACTTGCTCCTTCAAGTATATCTACGTAAGACATGTTTACGGTACTTCATGTGTATAGGTTTATTATGACTTATTTTACTTATTAATCAACACAAACAGTTTTTATCTTCAAATAATAAACCTGTCTTCTTTAAAAATTTTAGCATTCAGACTTTACTAAGACAGACTGGCCTTTTCATTAATTACTTTGAAATTTTATTTTACTGAATGGCCTGGACTAGTTTTCATGGGGAGAGCATTCAAAAGCAGGTAATTCTGAAGTTTTTGTTTATATTAATACCAATTTCACCGGGAATTCCTGACATGCTAAAAATACTGACTTGATTCATGAAAGTTATAAACTCTAAATGTATGACAGGGACTTGAAATTTTTTCTCTGAACAAATGAGACGTTTAAATTGTGAACTACACAGCAAATTCAATTTTATAATCTTTAATAACTTGAAGTCTGGGTTTCCCTGTATTAAGTTTCTTTCAGTGAACGCACAAAAAAGTCTTGATTCATCTATGAAACATTTCAAAGTATGTACAAAAAACCACAAAACAAACTAATATGGGCTTCTGTTTTAAGGGAGGGGCTGATAATCTATTGTAAAATGGTCAACAGAGAATAAATATTTATCATGCATGGAACAGTTCATCATTTTTTTAAAAAACACTAAAACACATAAGTAAATCCTGTTTATTTTTAAAGGAATATTCTCTCTCATAATGGGATTAGGTTAGCTTTCTCATAAAACAGAGCTTGAAATTCACTGAGGGGCATACTAGTGTACAAAATTAAATCATACAAGCTGTAAATGTAGAAATATCACAGTATGTCCTATCAGTATATAACTTTATAATATGGAAAGCTGGCTGACCAGAGGTGTATCAACTTCACTATCTTATTCTTCCTCTGTGTTTGAAGTGAGAACAGATAGGATACCACACTCAAATTCCAGCTGGAAAAACAGACAGCATCACTATATATTTAAAAGTGCAGAAAACCTATCCGTCAAACATCAATTGCCTCCATTTTCCACACTTCAAAGTTTCAAGTGTTACATTTTCCACAACCTGTTAACAGCAAATTTCCCCATCTTCTCAAGATTCACAGCATCAAAATCTTTCTCAGTATTTCACAAAAGAATATGTTACCAAATCTCACTCACGACACTGACATTTTTAACAAAGAGAATTCACATTCAAAGATAACTGCTTGGAAGGCGTGCTTGTGTTTGGGCAAGTGCCATTATCTGAGCAGGCCACAGAAACCGGCTGGAGTAGTAAGATGAATGGTGATGAGGGTACGGAGCATCAAGTGGGAAACGCTCTCTAAATCCCATTGGGCGCGACACAGCGAGAGGTAAGAGCATCCTTTCCTAGGAGGCAGCTCCATTCTCTCCAGTGCGCGGTTCAAAGCGTGTGGCAGAGCAAAACAACTTAAAGACGTGGAAATGTGGTCATTATCCTACTGCTAGCATCAAAAAGTCCCAAGAGCTTCTGAGAACGTCGCTTCTGTCACTGTGGTCTCCTCACTACACCCCTTCTTTCAAAAGAGTTCTTTACAAAAAAAAGACATATATACACCTGTGTTTAAAACGTGATGCCACAACCTAGCCTCGGGTGCTTGCCAAACGTCCGCGTTGCTGAGTTTGACCGTGGGCCCTAATCAATCGTCCCTATCAGGTGTGCTGATGGACGCGGCGGCCAACAGACGCTCGTTTCCCTGCGAGCCGGGTCCCCGGACGCCGAGGAGGCGCGACCTGCGCTCACCAGCAGGGTCACGCGCTCCCCCCACCGAGGAAGACGACCTGGCCCCCGGCGCCACTCTGCAGCCCACCGCGGCTCCGGAAGGCGCAGAGGAGGGCGCGGGGGAGAGGAGGCGACGGGGAGCGCCTGAAAACACACGCGACTGACACTTCCCCTCTCCTAGAGCCGTTTCCAGAAAGAGGGCACTTGGGGAGACGCAGGGGGCGTGCGGGAGTCCCACCGGCGACCCAGTTCGCTGCAACCCGTCCGGCGAGGCCCTGGCGCGGCCACCTGGCCCACCCTCCCGGGCGAGAGCGGTGCTCGCCCCGCCCGCGACCCCGAGTGCGGCTCCAGCTCCCCGCCGCCGGTCGCAGTGTAAACACTAGGCGCTCCCCGCCGGGAGCCGGAACTGGGGGGGTGGGGAGGAGAGGCGCTCACGCGAACCCAAATTTTTGCGCCTCTAGTCACGCACGAGAGGAAAGGCGAGGAAAGCGGTAGAGGAGGAAGAGGCGGCAGCGATCCATGCAGAGAGCGGCGTGCGCGCGTGTGCGCGGCGGGGAGGGCGGCCCGGGCGCCCCGCCGGCTCCGGCTCCGGCTCCCGCTCGCGCCCCGCGCCCGCTTACCTGCCGGGGTCGCTCCGAAGACTCGCACCACCGGCACCTTCTTGACAGGGAGCTGGGTGAGGGGGGATTGGCAGATATCCAGCCCCTGCAGCGGGCTGGCCATGTAGTAGTCGGCAGTCACTATCCTCACTGAAAACATGTTCACTGCCGCCGCCGCCACCGCCTCCCCTTCACTGGCGACCTGGCAGCGGCAGTAGCAGCGGCGGCTCCCTCCGCAGCGGCGGCGGCGGCGGCGCCCCCTCCCGTCACACACAGACGCCGAGAGGCGCGGCGGCGGCGGCGGCGGGCGGGGCGGTGTAGGCGCTGCTGCTGCTGCTGCTGCTGCTGCTGCGGGCGCCCCCTCAGGAGCACCCGGCGAGGGGCAGCAGGAGAGAAGCCCTGGCGCTATCGTCGGTGCTCGTGGTGCTGCCGCCACTGCCGCCGTCGCCGGGAATCACACGGGCGCCTCGGTCCCAGGCTGCAGTTCTTGTTGCCATGATGATGATGTCACGGACGCAACCACTGGGGGAGGGGCGGGGGGAGTGCGTGTGTGTGGAGCGCAGGGAGGGCTGTGTGTAGTAGGGGGGGAGGGGTGCGGCGGGAGGAGGAGGAGGGAGCGGGGCGGGCGCCTGGGCGGGACACGGGGTGGGGAGGGGGGCGAGAAGGTGTTTTCTCCCCCGCCCCTGGGCAGGAGGCTGGCGGAAAGCAGGGCCCGTGTCGGGCGCAAGGGATCGATGACTCGGCCGGTGGGCAAGGCCACCTGGGAGAGGGGCGGTGGAGCACCGATGTCATGGATGGACACCGAGAGGGCTCGCGGGAGAGAGGGGGCGGGGTGGGGGCACCCAGTGTTCAGGGCCGTTGAGGCGGCTCTGTGGGCCTGGCCGGAGCGGCGACGTTCCCGCTTGCCTCGCCGGCCGCCATTTCATATCCTGCAGAGGAGGCGGGGGCAACCGCACAGACGATTTTTCACAAGGTAAGAAAACCCGCCCGCGAGAGGAGGGAGGCGAGGCGCAGATCTCGTGCCGCCGCGGCCTCGCGGGAGAGAGGGCGGGGCCGGGCGCGGACGCAGCCGGCCCTTGTCAGGTAACGCGGCGGCTGCGCGCGCGCGCTGCCCGGGGCTGCGGGGGGAGGGGGGAGAAGGCGGGGACGCGCGCGCGCGGGCACGGGCCCCGGCCTATAAAAGGGCCGCCCTGGCGCCCTTCCCCCGCCCGCCTCCCTTCCCTGACCGCCTCGCGGGCCGCCGTGCCCCTCCTCCCCCTCGCTGATGCGGTGCCCGCGCTTGGCCGCTTCGTGAGATTTATTCACGCGCGGCTCCCCTCCGCCTTGCCAGGCTTGGCAGAGCCGGCGCGCAGATTCCCCACCCCCGTGGTGTTCTCCCTCGCGCTCGCGCCGCCGTGTCCTTCCTTGCTCTGCGCCCGGGCACGCGCGGGTACATGTCAGGACTTGTCAGCTCCCGGCGACCTGCCCCGCGCCGCCTCCCCCTGCGGAATGTGGCGTTCAGAGCCTGGCGGAGAGCGCGTTGGCCCAAGCACGAGGCCCGTGAAAGTCACCGCGGCTGACGTGGGCGCCTGATGTGACTGACTGCGTTGTGCAATGTTTCACCGCCCGAAGGCAGCTGCGTGAAAGGGGCCGGGCAGAGACCGTTAGACGAAACAAGTTAGCTCAGAAATGGAGAGCGTGAAGGGGTGCAGTTAGGGAATTTAAAAACGGGAGGGGGCTGCTGTTGAAATTCGGAACCGAGGGGGTTTTTTGTTTTTGTTCTTTGTTTTTTTTTTTGTTTTTTTTTTTGTCTGGGTCACGAACCCTAGGCGTGACCTTCGACGATTAATTTGGCTGCTTTGGGCCTCAGTGTTTTCATGTATAAAACGGGAAGATTTCTCTTAAAAGCTAAAATCCTTAAAGGTTTCTTCCCATCAGCAAGATTTAAGCAGACAGAGGCAGAAACCGTGAGTTAATGTTGGAAATGTGTCACAGAATTAGGTCTTTTTGACATTCCGTTGTTTATCCCAAGCACAGAGGATTGGTCAACGCTGGTGTAGAATACAGGGGTATTTTCATGTGTACTGGGGTGCCATGCATTTGAAGCCGTGAGAAAGCTCAGTTGGAACCATTGTGGGTCTTAAAATAAGAAAATCGAAAGACTCTAAGGGGCAGTTCACTGAGAGAATCAGTATAAATTCTATAATATATAAATGCTAATAAGAACCTGGGCTCCCAGGGATTGGAGACTGATTACCACAGTAAATTAGCCTGCAGGTTTTAGCCTCAGAGCATGATTATAAACATAGGTGGCAAGCTTTCTGCTAATATAGTGGAAATCACCTAATAACAGTTTAAAGAGATGAAAGTCTCTTAAATTGACTTGAAATTTTAGAAGGCTGTGGAAGTGATTTTAAAACATGACTACTATGCTAAAATGCATTTTCTGATAAAATAATTGCAAAATAAAATATTAGATGTACACTACCAGTGATTCTCAAAATGTTCTATGGCACCTGGGGTGTTCTTCAAAATTTAGTATTGGCCCATATTGAATTATGGGCCAGAAATCCATATTGTTAGCAAACCCACCTGTGATTTCTTTCTTTAAATGATTGATTTAGGGGCTGGTGCTGTGGCATAGTAGGTTAAGCCTCCACCTGCAGCGCCAGCATCCCATATGAGCACTGGATTCAAATCCCAGCTGCTACACTTCCCGTCTGTCCCTGCTAATGGCCTAGGAAAGCGAGGGAGGATGGCAAATGCCTGGGCCCCTACACCCATGTGGGAGACCCTGGAAGAAGCTCCTGGCTTCAGATCAGCCCAGCTCTGGGCCTTGTGGTCATCTGGGGACTAAACCAGCAGATAGGAGGCCCTTCCTGTCTCTCTCTCCCTGTCTCTGTAACTGCCTCTCAAATAAATCTTTTTTAAAAATAAGTGATGTTTTATTTATCCATTCATTTATTTGAAAGGTGGTGAGAAAGAGAAAGAGCCAGAGAGCTTCCTGCTTTTCTGCTGGTTCATTCCTCAAATGCCAACAATAGCTGGGGCTAGGCCAGGATGAATCTAGGTGCCAAGCACTCAATCCAGGCCTCCCACATGGGTGGCAGGAACCAAAGTACTTGGCCAACACTTCTGCCTGTAAGGGCGTGCATCAGCAGGAAGCTGGATCAAAAGCAGAATAATCTGGCTCAAACCAGGCACTCTGATACCAGATATCTGCATCTCAGGTTAACCTGCTGTGCCACAACACCTGCCTACATGATTCTCAAGCAATATAAAATTGAAAATACCTGTACTATATTATAATCAAGTGAATGAATTTATACATTATACTATTCCTAACTAGGAAAAGGTAAAAACAATGAATTAGTTACTTTGAGGTTTCTTTCCCCTTAATTCTTTTTTAATCTTTTTAATTCTGGCTCAGTTCCCAGAGAACATTGGCTTTTTTTTTTCCCCCTCTTTGAGAGACAGAGTGAACTCCCATCCACTAAGTAGTTCACTCCCCAGCCACTCACATTTACTAGGGACCAGAGCTGGGAACCAGAACTCAATCCAGGTCTGCCTTCCCTGGTCTGGGGTCTGTATTAGCAGGAAGCTGGAATCGGGAGCCAAAGCCAGGAATCAAGTCCAGGTATTCTGATGTGGGGCACAGGCATTCTAACAGTTGGTACAAATGCCTGCCCTCCCCCCATCATTTTGAATCAACATGATATAAGAAAAGATAGCAATAACCACAATTCAGATCCTTCTAGAAATCTAAGGAAATGTTCACTCTTGAAGATACGGAATTGCAGCATGAAATTGGGAATGTTGTGTCCATTGCAAGTAACTTAAAGCTGATGCTCAAATAACTCCTTCTAAAGTAAGAAAGTCCTGGAATTTTGAGTCAGAATTTTCATTTATTCATTTATTTCACTTGAAAGGCAAGGAGACACCTCCCATCCTCCCATCTGCCTGTTCACTATCCAAAATGCCTGCAGAAGCTAGGGATGAGCCAGGCCAAAGTCAGAAACTCAGACCAGATTTCTCACACGGATAGCAGGGGCCCAACTATAGGGGCTGCCTCCTGAAGTGTGCGTTAGCAGGAAACTGGACCTGAATCCATGCACCCTGACGTGGGATGAGGGCATCCTAAGTGCTGTTTTAATCACTGCGCCAAATATCTGCACACATACACCTTTTAAAGTTATTTCATTTGAAAGGCAGAAAGGGAAAGAATCTTAAAACATCATTTACTAGCTCAGTGAGTTGGATATATCACTTTTTTTGGAGTTTATTTCATCATCTATGAATTGGATAGTAATTCTTATTTTAACTTCTCAAGAATGTTATAAGGCTCAGATAATGTATGTGAACATATCTTAATAAATTTCATATCCAGAAGCCTAACTCATCTAAAAACAGCTAAAGTCATTCATAATTGCCTAATTTATGCATCACTTGAGAAACACCAGAGTCAAACTCTATGCTTACTCTATACTTAAGATTATTAAAGGATTTTTTTTTGATGTGGCCACTATTTGCCAAGTGCTTTGAGATATGATGAGAAACAAAAGAGAAGCCTGTTCCCTGGCCTATGAGCTTATGGTCTAGCATCACAAAAATTTTTAATCATACCAATTTTTATTTTATTGTCTATTCTAGTTCACCAGCCTATGATTATCATGTCATACCTTTAGTAAAAGCCTGCCCAACCTTCTGTACAAATACATTTCAACATCTTTTAGCATCTGCCTGCTAGCAACTTATAATCTAGAACACAAGTCAGTGACTACCGTAGTTTTGTGGCAGATATCAATAGGTGGTTTATTTAGCACTCACCCATCATTTTTCTAGCTTGCTTTTCTGTACTTTAGAAGCTGCGGTGAGGGGTGGGGGAAGAGGGGGACTGTAGTTCTCCAATTCCTTTGCAGCCAGAGTGCTGGCCATGAGATCAGTGGTGTGCCAATAAATGCTTAACAACAGCTGGGAGAGGGGAAGAGCTTGATTTGTAACATTGACCAGTTTGCATGGTACAAACATTCCCTGAGCCACCAAGGTAACTCCACTGCATGTGAGGTAGTTGGAAATGATGCTAACAGTCAAGCTGGCTTGAGAAGCATAGACACTCCAGTTTCCAGCAGTCAGGTGCACCCATTCAAGATGTGGATGCCTCACCTTACCCAGGGAGATGGGATCCCTGCCAAACACCATGGTGGAGGTATCTGATTCTTCTGAGTAGCTAGAGAGTTCTAGCATCCATTTCTGGATGATGCTGACTGACAGAGGTGCTGAGATAGCTTTTGGCTAGAATAGGCCTGGGAGGTGAGATGCATGTTTTTCCTGGTTTGGTATTTCCTGGATATTGTTTCTAGCTATGTGTTATCTAAGCCTGGTTCTGTGGCCCTCAGAGAGATGTATGCTAAATAGTATCCTTTGATCCCTTGCTGCTTCAACTAGCCAGTGTGGCCAGCTTCATAATTGGTGGAGCCCAGGGAAAAATAAAAATGTAGAACCCCTTGCTCAAAAAACACCAAAAATGTGCCATTTTCTATAATAAAACAGTTTTCTTTCTCCTGCTATCATAGTGCTTTCTAATTTGTTTTTCAATGTCATTCTCTTTTTTTAAGATTTTATTTATTTATTTGAAAGAGTTACAGAGAGAGGAGAGGCAGAGAGAGAGAGGTAGGTCTTCCATCTGCTGATTCACTCCCCAGTTGGCCACAACGGCTGGAGATGTGCCAATCCAGAGCCAGGAGCCAGGAGCTTCTTCCGGATCTCCTACATGGGTACAGGGGCCCACTTACTGGGGCCATCCTCCACTGTTTTCCCAGGCCACAGCAGAGAGCTGGATTGGAAGAGAAGCAGCTGGGACTAGAACCAGAACCCTTACGGGATGCCAGCACTGCAGGTGGTGACTTTACCCGCTACACCACAGTGATGGGCCTGTGATGCCATTTTAAAATGCAAATAGAAGAAATAGCATTCTACTTTATGTGGAATCACCAAAATTATACAATTCTTATTTTCTACCTTGTTCATGTATGTGTATCTTATGCTGTCAGGAGAGTGTAAACACTACCCAAAACTAACTCAATTTTTTATTTTCCTTCTTGTGT